ATCGAATGAAAAATATTTATTATTTTAAACAATTAGAAACTTCACGGAACTAGCCTCTGATAGTTATGACTGGTGAAATCAAGTCAACCCTAACAAAAAAAAAAACTATCCGGCCATCATTAGAGAATGAGCCTTGCTATTGTTTGAAAACATATGCTTTGTTGAAACGCATACCCAAGTCAAAATTCTTGATGGTCCCATCAAAGCATTTTGATGGTTTATGTTGGTTTCAGAACGATTTATGATGGACCAACATATTTTGATGGTAGCCATCATCCAATATTTTCCCTTATACATTCATGGTTTTTGATATGCCAACAAACTATCATCCCTTCATGATGGAAAATGCTACTTGAATTCTATGATGGTTAACCATCAAGATAAGTTTGATTCTCATGAACCAACAATCCATAATGATCCATAATGTTTCCAAATATACACTTCCATGATGGTTCAGTGGAAATTCTTGTTGGTTCTCAGGAATATGCCATCAAAACAAACTGCTATTCTTATGTTGGACCATCATAAATCAGTCCAAATTCCTCCTTGATGGTTACTTATGTTAGTTACCATGCATCAAAAATATAATGGCTCATGATGGACTTATTGATGGTTATCATCAAGATTGTGTTGGTCCATCAATGGAAAACCATCGAAAATTTTGACTTGAGTATAAGACCCTATTGGCTGTCATTTTTGCAACCCTGAATAACCAATGAATCGAAAACACCTCCCTCGCTGCAAACTACTCCACGAACTTGACTCCGAGATCGCGATATGTCGGAATGCGGAAGAGTTTCCATGGCGATTACTTTGGTCTTTCTTCTACTTCTAGTATTCGGATGTTTTTTGTTCTTTCTTTGTTGTTCCTACCGTTGGAAATAAAACAAGAACAATTGAAGAGAAAAATTTAATATTCGATAGTTAGTTCGAGAATTATTATCTTAAAATTTGACATTAAAAACAACAAATCACAGAAATCCAACTAAGCAGTTGAAATTCGGAATGCTGAAAGGACCATGTTTGGGTATGAATTTAATGCAGTTTTTTTTTAAATTACAATTTATTCGAAAATTATTGCAATCCTTAGTCATTTTCTTTCAGTTCATTTTGCCTTACTTTACGTTTTGTTTTGCTGCGCAAAAGATATAAGATTGAGATGGGCTGTAGAAAAAAGTACAGTGAATACGATAAATTTTAAAAGAATTAACATTCAACAATTAGTTTTAGAGTTTTTAAGTGCTAAACTTGTAGAGAAAGAATAAAATGTTTGAGAGATCTGTGACACACTGAAATGCAACTACGAAGTTAAAAATTGTGAACTTAACGCGAACTTTGTTTCTGAATTCCAATTCATTCAGAACTCGTCGCAAATTTAAGTCCTTTTCCGTTATTTTTTCAGTTTTTTCCCCTTTAAGTATCATCTGTTTATCCATTGTTGTAGAAAATGTATTTTCCGTCATGAGAACTCTATTTCTTTAATTTATACGCTAGCGCTTGAGTTGATCTAGAGATAGAGATAGATAGATAGATATAGATAGAGAGAGATTGATTACACGTTTCCAGATATAAATCTTATCATTTAAATTAAAATTTTTAAAAATAAAAAAATAATAATAAAGAGCGATCAAAACCATTCCTTATTTGAATTGTTGTAAGTCCATCTAGTGGAATTACATCTTATTTATTTCAACTCGTTAAGTCACACAATTTGTATTCCTTAGGTAAATTTTTTTTCTTCAAATCAACGATTCCTTTTAAAGTCAAGGTAAAAGTCTATTTTGCTATGATTAACATATTAACAAAACAGGGAGAAATATTAATGTTCAAGAAAAAAAGCGATATATAAGAAACAGATACGAGGATTAATGTGGGGAGTAATTGTAACAGGGGGAGCAGCATCTGTTTACATTAAAATTAACATTTGCAAAAAAAAAAAGTTTTTTTAAAAGTAAGAGTTTTTTATATATTTTCTTTCCTCATATTTTTTTTTATTATTATTACAATAATAATAAAATAAATCGTTGCTTTTAAATTATTAGTGTCACTTATACAAACAGAAATGAATGAAGCCATATATTAGTTTAGCTTTATATTTTCGTAATTTGTTTAAAAGCGATAAGAAACTTGACTTATTTTACAAATTAGTTATAATTTAAATTGATTTTTACATGTTGTATTTTGTGTTGCATAAAAAATTATTTTGGTATATAATATGAATGAATGATTTTAACGTTTTACATTTTTTCTTTCTTTTTTTTCTGCTTTTGCTGACGTCTTTGATTTTATAGCATCTTAAGTAGTTGCTATATCTTAAAACAACAATTGAGATATATTGGCTTGAAATAAAGTTTTTAATTATATTTAAACTGAGAAAAATTATTCTTTATGATATTTAGTGCGTTTATCAACTTTAAGGATCCCTATAAAAATAATAAGAAAAAAACAATCACCAAGAAATCATGTAAACTAGTTTTTAAAGGAAATTTCCAATTCAAAGTCGGAATTGAAAAATTGTTTTCTGTTGTTAATGATTTACTTTTTGTATTTTGTTGATATGTCTAAGAAGATTAAACAAATATTTTTTCATCTTTGAAAAATGTTATTGAGTTTCCCAAAGTGCAAAAAGGTACGTCATTTCATGTATTGTACTTTAAGTAATCAGTCGATCGTGTATAATTTACAAGAGAAAACCTAGGATACTGCAAAATGGAGGTAGAGTTAGATAGATTCTTGATAATTACTATTTTCCGTTTATCCTACCATTTTATGGATTTTCTAGTTCATTCATGGTTAAAGTCATTTAGAACTCCAATTATTTGAGCGAAAGTTTTGTTTAATTTTACATGGATATCGTGTACCTTATTTTGCTCAATTAGTGACAACTTTTATTATAGGATTCTGACAGTTTGAATAATGGTAATAAAATAGGTTATGTTAAAGAAAAAATATGAACTATTACTGCACACTTTATTATTAAGACAAAACAAAATGGAAAGAGTATCATCGATTGATTTCTGCCATTATATTTTTTTTAGTTGAAGTCATCATAAATAAGAATATAAATGAGACAAAAAAATGTTGCTTTTTATTAAGAAATTATTGCATAAAATAGGTATTTCGATTTTTTGTAAAATTTTAACATTTACAACTTTGTAAAGCTCTTAATTTTGTATTTTATTAGTATATTCATATATTAATTTATTCATACTTTATTCCCGATTAAAATTATCAAGATTTTCATTATTACCACAATTTATTTTTGATGCTTCTTTTCAAAACTACGTTTTTTCGCTTTCTAAAACTAAGATTAGCTCATTTTGAACTTGAAGTAACTGGCATAGTTTTTAATAGTTATTCTAAATTTTGATTAATTGGTTATTATTGCTGGAAAAGGATAATTAAATATTATGTATAAAACATAAAAATTTAGAAACAAGCTACATAACAACCATTGTTCATAACATCTATGTAAGAGAATTGAAATTAATATTTATTATCGCTTCGTCCTATAATTAAAAACATCAAAATTTAATAAATAAAAAAAAAGACTTCTGAATTCAGTTACTAATTTATTCATTATTTATTGCAAAAACTTTCTGGAAATCTATCTTTTCATCTCATTTGAACAATCTTTTCTTTTTCTTCATTTACGTTTCAAAATTTTATGAGCCCTACATAGAGAAAAAAAAAATTCTGATAAAATTACTGTACTGTATGGTAATGTCGTTTGTGGTTAAAGGAAAAAAGACATAATTTTGATTAACAAAATCAAAATATACCGTATTCAAACCGTTACCATTTTTCCTTTCATATGGTAATAGTTTACCAAAAATTCTGGTTTTCAAAACTATAGTTCAGTAAAAAATACTTATACTACCACACATTCAGAAAAAATATTAAGCAGAAAAGCAAATTTGACAGAAGAAGCGATTTTTATGCCATGATTTAAGGTATCAGGATAAAATATTGCCGATTTTACCAAATTTTGTCACATATTATTAAACCATATTTTATTATTAATTTTACTAAAATCATTACCAAAGCTCTTCTGTAAAAATTATCTAGCTTTTTGATGTTCCCATGGAGCCAAGAGCATGTTAATTGTTATTTACTAAATTTCGATAGTTATGATCATACTTTTTACTCAGTGTAGTTTTGAATTTATATATGCGTAGTAATCTTCATAATTCGGTCTCAATGCAAAGAATTGTGAAAAATACAATATTAAAATACAATATTGTCTAAAAGAAAAATATGAAAGATATAGGGAAAAAATAGAAAGACGTGGAATAATATATTAATACACATAGTTCTAAGAGCAATTGAATTTTTCATGTACCTCTATTAAAATTAAATGACTTAAAACTAAATAAATTAATAAATACTTAACTGTACAAATTTTATTTTTCAAGCGAAATTTAGAACAAATAAGATCAATACAAAAATATTTACGCCTACGCCCTATAAATATTATCAGTCAAATATTTTGCATTACAGTAAATTTGAATTTAGACAAATTACTAACATTAAGAAGATTAAAAGTAATAAAAACAATTTATGAGAATCCGCATGTCAAAATAAAATACGTGAAGACATGTTAAATCGCTATAAGATATCCGTTTATTAAAGGTCCCGCAGTAGACACGGTTCCCATTAGAACGATGAAGTCAAGCATCACTGGCTGCGGACGGTAAGCGGGTGGATGACCTCTTTGAACAGCCTGAGTAAGGGCCGAGGGTGGGCAGTATTGGTCCCCGTTAAACTGTTCTACCGTAAAGTGCTCGACTTCGCTGTCAAGTCATCGGGCTACCAAAGCAAGGGAGTCATCCCCTCTGCAGAGGATCAAAAGCGATGTCATGTCTTCAGATCATACTCAGGGATGTTTCCCAGACCGTCGCCAATAGCCCATTGTGTGCAGCTCTAGCACTACGTAAATAAAGCACCTACCTACTGTTTATTAAAATAAGATACTTGATATTTACTACAATGAGATTTATTCATCTTGATGTTAAATTTGCTAGAATAATCTCACCAATTAAAGCTAAAATAGATACAATATATCCAAAAACAAGTATTATAATGGGTCCATAAATATCTCGTAATCTTATTGGATGTACAGCTTCCAATATTGCATCGTTATTTTTATTACCGAATGTAATGAATCTGACTTCCTCAGTAATTATTTTATCATACAAACCAGCGTTTCTTATTCGCGTAATAGCCTCATTCACTTTGTCTTTATGGCAGAAATTTTTCCTTAAAGCTACACATATACTTGTGGTGATTAAAGAATCTTCTGACACAACCAAACTGTTATAATCATCGTACATATAAGGTACACCAGCCGCAGTGATAATTGTAATTCTTTTTTTATTAAACGTTCCGTCTTCCGCATCGTCTGCTTGAAAAGTCCAAGAATTTTTCCGAATTATCCTTCCCATTTTCCTTAGATTGCGGTCTGTTGAATTCAACATAAGTTGCAAAAGGAACGTTCCAGCAAACACTTGACATTCATATTGTCCTTTTATTACAGATTTAGAGAGATCGTTGAAATTACGAGGTACGGATTCGTACAGAGGAATGCTTAAAAATGACAACAAAACGGCACAGTAACACGATGATAGGATAAATGAGAATATTAAACTCAATAACAAAAAGAATCGGCGCTTTAAAGATTTGTCTTTGTCAGCAATGGGAGCTCGTAACAGGGATCCAAAGAAGTCTAAGAAGAACTTGAAAAATACTCTCTTGTCTTTTGAAGTAAGCGCGTATATTAGAGGCAGTAAGAACAGCACGCAAAGAGATAATAACCACACATTGAAACTGAACGGATAGAGGTATGCATACATTGTAGGCACCCGTTTCGGGGATGGCGCAAAGAACTTGACATCTTCCTCAGTGTATGGGATTGAGAAGTCTACAACTTGTAATCTGTCTTCAGTGCTAGATATAGCATTGATTGCCATGTCTGCTTCTCCTCTGTGGACCAGTCCAAGCATACCGGTCCAAGTTCCGTTGCTAAGTTCTCGTCCCCACTCATTATCAGAGGCAACTATCAACTTAAATGGCATTTTTAAGGTATCCATCAGCAACTGAATGAACCTTCCTTCCAACTTTGATAGTATCCTGTTTCCGTTCATGTCCGTTGATACGCGTAGGTTGGGTGCCAAAACGATGGCGATTGTCAGTTCTTGTGGTATCTTCATTACCATATATTTATTTGAAAAATGCTTTAAATGTGCGATAATTACATCATTCGATTAATGTCTTTTGCCACGCTGGAGTTAAAATTCGATCCTGATACAACTATAATGTTCTGTTTTACTTTCTCGATGATCATATGATGAAAATGCAACAGTGAATAGACAAATTAAGGAATTTAAACAATGGAAAATTATTTTATTTCTACTCGACCGTGTCTGTTCAACAAAATATTATACATTCAAAACCTTCGCATATTTTATGATCGCACTATATGTTTTAAATATTTTATATCGTTAATATCGGTCCAAGGTACTATACAATTCAAAACTGCATAGTTATAATTTTAAAAATAATTCGATTGGATAAAATTTGGTCTGAAAGGATACTTTTTCCCGACACACACATGAATGATTGTGTCTTGTTGCTACTCCTTAAAAGTACACTCTTGAAAAACTACAATTAGATAACTTGGTGGCATTTTTAAAATCATTTTTCTTTTTTGTAAAAAATCTGTCTTTTTTTAACACAATAGACTGTCTGGTTCCTTTTTATGTCCTCCGGATGCTAGCGAGTTTTCGACATTCTTAATACAATTCATTAAAAATCATTACGCTTAGTTGGTCTTGAAATATTTTTTCATTGTTTCATAATCCAACGTATCGAAACATTGTTGAAACAATTACGACATTTGAAAGTTCTGCAGTCAGATAGCATTTCAATTATTGTCTTTTGATATTTATTTTTCTTCTATATTGGATAATATGTGTCTAGGTTTTATTGATTTATCAAAAGTTTGTAATTCTATTTGTTCACCTTTAGTGTAGATTTATTATTCAGAGCTCATTTTCGCAACATTGTTTTTTCTTCCCAATCAATCAGAATCGATTATTGATCTAAAATAAAAAAAGTTTGTAGCATAAAACTCATATTACCTTTAAATTAATTGTCTTCTAAATAGTTTTTTCCCTATTCGATTTCATCTTCTGAACAGGAGCTGCCTTTTCATTCAGAGAATTTTAACTTTCAAACACTTTCTGAAGAACCAAATAACTTTTTACACGTGTTCATAACGAATTGTTTTAGCAAATTAAGTAAATAAGCTAATCAATAATAAATTTTTGCCGAATTTCAATTTTTTACGAAGATCATTATTTCCTCTAAAATGTCACGCACACAAATTTTCATTAGGCTGAGTCAATTTCAGAGTCAATTACAGAGTTTCTTCACAGTTTCCTGCAAGCTAAATTACATAAAAACGGACGACACTGGTCTGATGGTTTTTCAATATTTTTGAGATACAGGTATTACGAGTAACGTTTAATACAAATCTTCGAATAAAAATTAAAATTGAAAATATGTTCCATACCCTCTAACTAATAGAAAAAAAGGCGCGTGTTTTAAGAAGCTTTTAATAAGCGTTTAATCGATAGAAAGAAATATTGGCGTTTCTAAGTTCGAGGTAATAGTCGATACACCGTACAATTAAATTAAAGAATTGCTAATACAAAAATGATAAAAAAGAAATTTAAATTAAATCATAGATGTTTGATAATTTATTCGATCATTTCAGAAACCTGTTATTGATTATTTTAATTCATCGATAAATGCAGATCATTAACAGCATTTCGTAATTTCTTTTGAAAATCGAATTTAAGAATTTTAGTTTTTGTTTACTTTCAGTTCTACAGCACTGTTATGGTTAAACAGAACTGTAAACATTTCTGCTATCTGCTCCTGCTTAACTTAAATAATATGATAGTATAAAATAGTGTAAAATACGATGCAATTTTTAACTATGCCGTGCAATGCAATATTAAATGAATAATATAAACATAATTAGGCATCATCAAGTTAATAATGCACAGCTATAATGTTGTCTAATGTCTTTGCACATGATGTATAGGACTAAAAAAGAAGAAACACCCTGAATAATTTCGGTCTAATGATCAGATTTTTCATGTATTAGGACTCAAACTTATTGATCCACGGGGGGGGGGGCTTCACATATGGTAATTAATTAGTATAAACGATATTTTAAGTTAGGAAATCAGACAAACCTGTAATCTAGGAAATATGGTCAAAATAGTTCGGTCAAGTGAGCTGTTGAAAGTTTCGAACCCTTAATGTAAATTTAGTAACTTTAATAATTATTTAATAATTTTTAATATTTTATTTAATAATAGGTGAAAAAAAATTTGAATTGTAAGGTAAATATTTTATTTCTTATGAGCTGCACAATCAGTCTTCGCGATGAGCAAACCTAGTGTGTTCTCCAGAAGTGGTATCCACTCTTTCAGGACCACCACAATGGGTGAGATGCCGTTGGCTATGTTAATTTGGACATTTAGTTTCTGCCACACTAGATGGTAGCACAGAGACTCTATTTGGATGCTAAAGGGCACTAGGAATTTAATTTTGCCGGAAATGCCAAGAGCCAATAAGAAACTCCAGGGATCTTTTACATGCCGCATATTCATACGACATGGCCGCTGAGGATTTTCTGCATCCCGAAAATCCGGTGTCTGGGCCGGGGATCGAAACTGCAGACTTCGGCTCAGAAGGCCGACGACAAACCAACTGCGCCACCCAGCCACATTACTTTAATACTAGTAGTGCCTATTAGCATTATTTATATAGCTTATTTTTTAATGTCAATTAGTAATTACCAAAATTAATTAAACATAAAAACATAAACGTCAATAATATGGCGATTTTTACGCTTTTCCTACACGATTTTGCACCATTTGCTTTTTAGTACACATACATATTACTTTTTAGTACATAGCATGTGTTTTTATTTCTACTTTTACATATCACCAAAATTAATAAATATAATTTTAAAAAATGTAATTTTAAATGACGAAACACAAAATTTGAACGAAATTGATGAAATTGTTTCTGAGAAATTCAATTTTAATATACAAGGGGTGATCAAATGAAAAGGTACGAAACGACAAGGTGGGTACAAATGTAGAATTTAGTCAAAATATACACTATAGGCCTGAGCACAACGATTCCACTCATGAACAAGCCGCAGGATTCCTTGTTCCCAGAATTCCTATGGCTGTGACGAGACCCAGTCCTTCACAGCGTCCTTGAGTACGTCGACCGAGTTGAAGCGCTTCCCTTGCAGGTGTTTCTTCTGTGGACCAAACACATGGAAATCGCAGGGCGACATGTCCGGACTGTAGGACGGCTGGTCCAACGTCTCCCACTTGAATTTGGCCAGTTCCATGTGTTTGACTCTGGAGACGTGTGGACGCGCGTTATCATGGAGCAGAAAAACACCCACTGTGAACAGCCCCGGTCTTTTGTTCTTGATGGACCTGCGTAGGCGTCGGAGTGTCTCACAGTACACATAGGAATTAATGGTTTTTCTGTGCTCGAGTTTCTGTTTCTCATACGAAACTGCCGCATCATTTGGACGCCGTTTTTGATAATAGCTTTTGCTCTCTTGTGCGCATGCGGGCTCCCGCGTATGCTCCCATCCCAGTCAGAGACTCAAATTGCATCCCAAAATGTCTCGCTACGTTCTCCCATGGCAGAATATGCAAAAATTTAACTGTTACGTTTTTACGTCGTTTCGTACCTTTTCATTTGATCACTCCTTGTAAAACCTTTTTAAAATTCCATTTCTCAGGAACTATTTGACCGATTTCATTTAATATTTTGTATTTCACCATATAAAATTACATGATTTAAAAAAAATTATATGTCCTTCAATTAAAAAATTAAATAAACGATTATAATAATACGATTAAATAAATAATAAAAAATAACTATTAGAAATTCTAGTTTCAATGAAATTATCTTTGGATAAATATTTAAATTTTTTTCAATCAGTTTAAAAAGTTCTCGAGATATGACGAAATATGCAAAAAATTAAAATTAATATTAATGGCTCCAAAATCTTAACTGGTTTCTGGATCAAACTATTGGAACCATAATTCCTAGTTTGGGGCTGCACCCTATATTTTGAGGTTCAGAAACCCATAACCGAAATAAAGGTATGTTTATTCAGAGAAAGTACGTTTTTGTGTCAGAATTCGTAAATTAAAATATCGTTTGCAATAATTAATAAGCATGTTTGAGGTATTGAGGCATATTGAGGCTTTCTTAACTATTAAGTTTGAGACTTAGCTTGTGAAAAGCCCGATAAAAAATAATTCAGGATGTCCCATTTTTTGTGAGCTGTACATAATACAAAAAAAAGGATGTAATGTAAAAAAAAGGGAGCACCCTGATTAAATTTGAAACTGATGATTGAATTTGTAATACTGAGACTCAATTTAAATGTTTGGGTGTCTTACATTGCATATTCTTGAGAAACTTGAATATTCTAATTAATTAAGGCAGGCGATATTTTATTATGCGATATCAGACGCTAAACTTCTTTTTTCAGAATAAATATGTGGATTCTTCACACTTTGGAACATATTTTATAATCCCTAGAGCTTAAGCAGGAGAGCAGTCAAAAGTTAAAACCCTTTAATGCTGATTTCATCTTTTTCATATTTCGCTATATCTCGAAAACTTTTTAAAGCAAATAAAAATTGCTTGCATACAATTATAAAATTTGTTTACTCAAAGATAATTCCATTATAAAATAATTTGTTTAAAATTATTAATAATTTTTGCTTGAAGGAAATCGTTTGAATAGTTTTCGGTAAATCTAAATTTATATAAACGATTTTTTTTTAATTGGAAAACTCAGAAATTGGATAACTCAGAATTAAATCAAAAATTGTTCTAAAACAATGAATTGCCAATTTCTGCAATGTTCTAAACTCATTTTACTGTCCATCTCACATGAAATTTAAAAATAGAATTTTCTGAAACTCATATTCCTAGCACATTTGCAGATAATGCAACAATTACTTAATAATTTAGAACAAAAAATAAATAAATAAAATATGGGTAAAATAATTTATATGAATACCTAGCTTATAGTTTTTATAGATTTTCTTACGAAAGAATCTTAAATGGGAAAGATAATGACATATCATTTAAATAATAATTCATAAAAAAAGTTGGAAAATGTGCATTTATCCTATTTACATTTGTGGCATGATTTTGAAGATCCAAGAGAATTATTGGACTGTAATTATTGTCATTCCATAATTTGAAATGAACAATGTCACGTAAAAGATGGAACAACGCATAATAAAGAAAGCAATCCAAAAACTAACTACTCTAAATTAGGTTAGTAATGTTGTTTACTACTTTTTTGCAATGCATAGAACATTTTAATCGATATACGGACTTTTTAACGTAATGCCTAAAATATATTTGAGTGAAATGTACGATATTTCTAATTGCTGGTTACCGTTATATTTTTCTTTGACATGAATACAATAAAAAAAGAATGTTTATTTTAACATGTTTTTTTAAGTCTTATTTCAGGCAACGGTAAAATCATTCAGATTTTTTCGATATCCTGACTTATTACGTCTTGGATTCTGTTATTATGAAAGGCTAAGCAATTTAGTTACTCTAATGCATTGCAGTTGTTGTTTTTGAATATTCATACTTTCGAAAAGTGAAATCTTTATTAGATTCTGTTTTTTAAATACAAATATTTTTATTCACAGAAATAAGAGTATATATATTTTTTTGTAAAAAACAGTTAAAAGTTTTTTATAAATAAAATTATATATCTCGTCTTTGAGTTGAAAAATGAGAAAGTTACCGGATGAGCTAACTGTGGCAACAGTTCAAACACCTGAGTTAGAATTTAAAGAGATTAACGGAGAAATATTTCTATCTGGAGTAGATGGGAAATTCCTGGAATCGCTGATGGCTGCTTTTAACGTTCGTTTTCGAATGAAAGAAGCTTCTGATGGGGAATGGGGAAGTCTTCTAGACAATGGGAACTGGTCTGGTATGGTTGGAATGGTTCACAGAGGAGAAGCAGACATTGCAATAAACCAGATCTCTATTACTGAGGAAAGACTAAGTGTTGTTGATTTCTCTATTCCTTACACCGATGAAATAGTCCCATTTGTTGCACCAGCACCTAAACGCATCTCTTCTCTAATTGTTTACTTGTACCCATTTGATATTACTGTATGGGTACTTTGCGCAATTACTTTAATAACTTTGCCTTTAATGTATGTACTTTTAATTAATCAAACACAAACATATGACGCCGTTTTTATTAAAGTGTTTGGGTACTTGCTAAGGCAGCCTGCGGCTGATAAAAAGAAGAGTTTTGCCCACAGAGTCTTCATATTAGTGTGCCTGGTATTTTCACTCGTTATTTCATCTAGCTATTGCGCAGTGCTGCTATCATTTTTAAGTGTTCCACTTTATGAATCAAAACTGAGAAACTTCAAAGAACTTTCTGAAGCTGTGATACAGGGAAGACACACCGCCCAATTATTTTCAGGAACCTTCATTCTGCATCTTCTTCTGACTTCAGCTGACGAGAACATGAAAACCATGGGGGAGATAATACAGTGGAATTCGTGGACGTTTCCCGTCAGCGCTTTCAATGACGGAAGCTTAGATCGAGAAAAAGTCACGATTTCCACAATTGCAGACCTGCAAGCACTTTATAAAGGTTACTCTAATGTTATACTCTCTGAGGATTCCTTATTGACGACGAGTATATGTGTGGTGTTTAGGAAAGATTTCTGCTGCAAGGAAATGTTTGATACAGCTATTTCAAGAATAATTAGTGCCGGACTATACGAGAAATTTAAATCTGAGGAATCAGTTTCTCAATTTGAAAGTATTAATGCCAATGATAAGATACAAAGAGAAGTACCTGTGAGTTTGGAGGATGCTTATGGAGCAGTTTTCATTCTTTTGTTCGGTCACCTTTTATCATTTCTAGTTTTAGTTGGTGAAATAATTTTCGCGCGTTTCACTCATAATCTTCAAGACTCAAGATCAGGCTTGACACAAGATCAAAAACTCTTATTAAGAAAAAACAGTTTAAAAATTCATTATTTTTAATTGTTGAAGAAGATTATTCACCATCTAGCCGGAAAAAAAAATTTACCATCTATCCTTATAAAAAAAAAAAAAAAAAAAAAAAAAAAAAAAAAAAAAAAAAAACAGACTCTACAGAAAGTATTACTGCCCTCCCCTGACGTCATGCAAGAACGTGACTATTTAATTTTTAAAAAAAATCTTTCCTCCTTAGTGCTTTCTTGAATTTGGTGTCCTTAGGGAATTTAAGCATCTTAATTTCAGGTAACAAATTAGTGTTCAACTCATAGTGAACACAAAAGCAGAACAACTGCTGTCACGCGAATTTTTCACCATTGGAAGCAAATAATTATATTAAAAAATAAGTCGAAAGAGGATGAAAGCAACAAAAAAAAGAAAGTCAATGCAAGTGAATTATCTACCGGAAGTTGAAACAAACTCTGCAAACACTGCCCCCTACCGTTGAGAGAACGAAACACGGTCGGGAAAAAAGTAAATAGAAAGTAATGTTAGAGACGATGACAATCCGCAAATATATACCTAAAATAAACTCTTGAACAATCTTGATGATATTTCCAGACAATATTTTCATAATTATTTAAAATTATGATCGCATTTTAAAATTATAATGGAATTCGATATATGCTGTTATCAGGGGTCTGCGAATCATTGTCATTACAGTACCAAAAATTTGTAGTCGGCACCCAATATTTAATTAAAACTTTACATGCAAGCGAAAGGCTGTTACGCTATTTTCTTCGCACGCATAACATATGGCTCCTGAAAAATTTGCATTTTTATGGATCTCAGGGCATTGTATTGTTTTTGTTAACTTAAAGTTTATTGATTTCAAGGATAGCTGGGATTAAAAAGTTTGTTAACTTTAAGGATACCTGGAAGCATTTTTCCAAAAGTTTAAGACATTGTTTTTTTTAAAAAATATAATGTTATTAATTCTCCTTTAAACAATGAAAATACTTAGTTTTTTAAATTGAAACACGAAAAAAGATTATTTTTTTTATTCTTTTTCAAAAAAAAAAAGGAAAAAAAAAGTCACGTTTAATAAAGAGTAAAAAACTCTTTATTGAATTGAAGTAATGCTGAAACATTATATGTTTAATTTCTCCATGTTACTTTCTCCATATGTTTACTTTCAAGGTTGTTCCTGCTTTTCCAGTTATAAAACAAAATATCAAGCCAAATCTTTCAACAAAAAATAAACACCTTTTACGTACTTCTTAAGCACTCAAACATATTTTTAAGCACTATACACATTAACAAAATGCAAAATAATTTTTGAAGACTTTATATGATAATGAAAAAAATAACTAGTTTCTGACAAAGAACTTTTTTCTTGATTATATCAGCCACCATAAAAAGATGGAACGATTTTTCAGTTTGATTTCAGAGGGTGAAAAATGATGCCAGATAATGAGAATATCTTGCAAAATACAGCAAGTATTCGTCAAACTTATTTCAGAATCGACAAGTTTTTTATTCACTTTTAAGTATTTCTTTCTGTTAAAAACAAATATTTACCTGTTTTTTATTATATTCCTTTTCATTTCACTAAGATCAAGTAACTACTTTCTTAATCTTGGCTAATTTAAGTTTGTTTTTTAGTTATTTATGGTATTATATCGCCTAAAGTTCAAACAATTTGTTTACATTTATCATAAGAAATCTATTTCATATACGATCTTTCATCTATTTTTGGATCTACCAATGTTTTTCTTCTTTGTAATCCTTGTGTTAAATTACTGAAATAATTAGTTTCTAATTTGGAAAATTTCATGGGAGTATGTTTAAAAATTGTATACTCTAAATTTTGTAATTAAGTACGAAAATAAAAAAAAGTATTCTAACTATTTTTGCATGTTCATTTTGAAGAATCTCAACTGGAAATAAATAGAAAAGATGTTAAAAATAAATTAACACCTCATGCTATTCCAAAAATTTTCAATGTTCCAAATTCCTTAAAAAAGAGTGGAAGTAATAGGATGTTTCAAACTTGGATCAATTTTAGATAGGCTTAAATCTAATGCAAGTATAAATTTACCTCTCCATTTGCTTAATTTTTATTATTTCTTTATAATTAAGGAACCGAAAATGTGTAAAAACTAGTTTAAAAAAGTTTAGCTTAATGGAGCTGTTCAAGAACTGAAAGACAACATAACCAAGAACATCGGTATTTACAATAAAAAGTTTAATATCAGCATATGACGGGTTTAATTAGTAATTAAAATGGATTTTTGATTGTCAGTTATATTTAACCTTTTTAAGCCTCAAAGAAATATTTTTTCCTGTTAAAATTCTTCTTTACTTAATGTTTAGGCCTAGATTTTTGAAACTTAACTGATATAAATCTTAAATGTGAGTACACAGACATATAATTCATGTATGTTTAATGCTGTTTGTGCCTAAAATTTGCATACCTTTCAAGGTTATAGACTAAGTATTATTTGCAATGTTTTAGACTATTAGTCGGACTTCTTGTCGGATTAAATTCCCAAACTGATCATAGCCTTTTCAATAACACTTAAGTTCAAATTATCTTCACAGATTCAACAAGAATATTGATTGTGGTCGATAATTCGTCAAGTAATTTCGATCTTCTCGATGGATTGAGTTGACAAACTGATCATAATACTGATCTTACTTGGTATTTAATACCAAGTAAGTTTCAATCCTCTTTACGGAGCGAGATTGATTTGTGTCGATTAATTTCCAAGTTTTTTCAATCTTCTTATTGGATTGATTAGACAAACTGAATATGCTAAATGTTATAAAGGCCTTATTTTGAACTGTGTAATAAAGATACTTATGTCAGAAGATTTAATTTAAAACCTATTTAATTTAGCTCAGGTTTTATTAAGACTAGATCAAATTCATATTAATATTCTCTCACTGTTGTGAGTATACTTAATTGCCAATAACTTTATATTAAAAAAATTATATATATCCATCCTAATTTAATGATTCTAACTGTATTTTGCATCGAAATATTAACTTTACTGACTTTAATGTGCATTATATGTTACAGTAATAATAAATTTTAGCATCACAGAATAACAAAAATGGAGGCAGCTACTTTACACCGAGTTGTGTAAAATAACAATCTTGGTGCTTTACTACAATAGGAAGTATCCTTAAAGTAGTGAAACACCACTTTGGTGTTAAATAGTTGCCACTATTTTTGGTGTTGAGATTCATTAAAGTTTTTTATGGTGTATCAATGTATGTTCTTCCCGCAAAACTTTACACCATTTGTTAAAAGCAGTTGTATGAAAAACTGCATTATTTTTGCAGTTTGCAACAACTACAACTACTTTGTTACAAATGCAGTCAATTGCAACTACTTTTTGTAAATGTAGTGACTACAAACTACTTTGGAATTGTTGTAACTACTTCATTACTTTAAGGAGACGAACTTCGCTAGAGAAATTAATTTACACCCGTATAGTTTACACTGCTGGGGAAACTCGTTTACGCGTTATGTTCAAAATAGTTTTGAATGAAAAATTGACTTACATTAAGCATGAAGAATTATTTAGAAATACTTTGTTTACATTAGCCAGTTTTCTATTCTAAAACATTTCTTTCGAATTTGCTCATTTAGTCTTTAACTTTTTATGCTCTTCTTGACAGGGAATATTTAATTTAAGAGATGCTTGTGTAAATTATCAAATACTTTTAATTTAGTTAAGTGCTTAATGATCATTTATTTCTTCTGAGAAATTAAGTGCATCGAAAATATGTTTCCTTCTTTTGAAATATCATCAATGTTATACGAGCCTAGTTTCACATGCGAAAGCATCACCAAAGAGATAAATTACCTGTTATTCATAATGGCCAGTTTAAATATTAGTTATACGTAACTCAAAATGCGCAATTCTTATTAACTCACAATCACAGGAACAGTTAAAATTTCGCTTTTTGACAGACCCGCGAAGATTTGTATCCATCAAATTCAAAAAATTAGTTGTGTTACACCCCTGTTCATATACTAAGTCAACGTAAAAACTAGTGGCCAAGAATCGATACAAACTACTGTTTTTTTTTGTATAGCACTACCACACTACACTACTTTCTTAAAAAAAAGTAACACATTTCACTGCAAACTACTAAAAAAAGTGGCGACTACAGTAGTTTCACTAATTGTAGTGCACTGCTTCCGACCACTGGTTAAAAGCAGTTTGGCCTTGAGAATGTTAGTCATAAACAGCAAACAATATATGATAAGTGGTTGAATAATGTTCATCCTCTGTCGTTAAATATCGAGCTGCGCTACACATATACTACTGCTTCTTGCTCTATTCTGAACTGTAAATTCACTTTAAATGATTTTACACAAATAGGCTGATCAGTTATTTGGAATCTAAGTTGTACTTCTTTTATTCCCTTTTATAACCATGAGAAATGATGCTGCTGTCTCTATTGTATTTCGGACGCTTTATGCTGTGTTCACATTTCATTTGAGTAACTCTTATTAATTACTTATTATATTAGCTAAGACTAAAATGTCTTATATATATTTGAAACTTTTCTTAAAACGAGTCCATAGTAATTCCCCTACCAAAGCAGCAATTGACAGAAGGTACCCAGCAGTTAATAGCAACAAAACACCATATATGTCTTGAATACATATTGCATAGGTTTTTCCAGTAAATGTTTTTCGGCTTTTCAACATCACCGTTTTGAACTCGTCAGATTTAATCTTCTCATACAACCCCGCTTTTTTTATTCGAGATATCATAATGTTCAACTTTCTTTCGCAGCAAAAACCTTTTCTCATTGCGATACCTACATGTGTAGTCACAAGTGTATTTTCTGAAAATACAACGTTCTTATACCCTTTGTAAAGTGATTGTAACGTCAAAAAGGACGAAACAGTAGCAGTTCTATCATCAACGGATTTATTCTGGTAATTCTTCACTTGGAAGCTCCACGAGTTCTTTTGAACTAACTCACCTACATTTCGCAATTGTTCGTCCTTAGAATGCAAAAGAAATGGTAAAATAAACGACCCTAAAGTCACTTGGCATTTCAAATGACCTCTCAGAACTGCTCTGGAAAGGTCATTGAATGTCCGCAATTTAGGCTCATAGAGAGGTATACTTAAAAAGGACAGAAGAACAGCACAGTAGCTAAAAGAAATAACCATGGAAAAAATCAAGCACAGCAAAATGCAAAATTTATGCATTGATTTTGTTTGAGTGTACAATGGTTGCTTCAGCAAGCTGCTAAATACTTTTAGCAATGCTGCACTATACGTTTGACGCTCAGGAAGGAACAATACATGTATAAATGGCAATATAAGTATTACACTTATACACGACAACCACACGGTCAAATCAAACGGATATAGGTACACAAAAAGAGAAGATATTCTTTTTGGGGCAGGTGCCGCAAATTTTACTGGCTGATCAGTATACGGAATCGAAAAATTTACTGCTTGCGATCTTTCCTCAGTTATGGATAGTTGACTGATTGCCAAGTCAGCCTCTCCTCTCTGTACCATACCCATTAAACCAGTCCAGCTACCATTGTCCGTTTGTTGTCCCCATTGGCCATCAAGAGGCACTTGGATTTCGAACGGAGTTTTCATAGCGCTCATCAGTAAATTAATGAATTTACCGTCTACTCCCGATAGCTCTGACTGTCCTTTCTCATTTCTCGTCACATTTAGGACTTTTGTTACTAAAACAGCAATTTTCAACATTTGAATTTTTGTTATATGGCAATAGTTAAAGTAAATTATGGCTATTAGAGTATACTTTATAGCATTATAACCCAATGGATGCTTCACTTATTTTTATGTCTTTTTCTTATGCTTTACGTAGAGGGGCTGCTCTACAATGTCCATAAGTAAACAGATTGGTTGTAAAATAACAAATTGTGTTTATTTTCATGAAGTAAAAATTATTTTGATATCAAAATTCAAAACTGAACTGTCTATTGATTATTGCTTTAAAAGTATTTTTTTTAAAAACATCTGTCTGAAATACTGCAAGAAAACCATACGTGTAAGTTGTTAGTTTGCAGCTATTTCTTCAACTTTTTTTTTTATCTCCATTCTTTTGCAAATGTTAGACTCAGCTATTCACTTTTTCTCTAATTTTTGATTGTTTGCGTCAATATTATTCACGATAGTTTGCATTATTATGACGTTGTTGAATATTTTCCCAACACAATTACAAGCAAAATTGTTCAGAAGTTTGGCTGTTGCTCAAATATAGAGATAAATAAAGGATTTACGAGTTTTTAACGTGTATAAAAATCACTCATTTTCATTTTGAAATTGTTCGTATCCAGCTAGCCGAAGACTCCCTGTGTAGCAAATGGTGACTGGTGCACGTTAAATCTGTGGAGTCACAAAGAGTCCTCCATGTTCCCACAACAAATTACACCTCTGAGGGTACTGAATTGGAAATTTATCGTTCTCTGGTTCAGGTCAAATTTACGGTCTGTGGATGAATAAATGAATGTATGAATGGATCCACCCTATGAATGGATGTGATGTATGGGTATGGCAGAAGACAACGTCTTGGTTATAGATGACGCCAATGGAAAACAAGAACAATCGCGCCCCTTACCCTAATGGCCTACAACAACAACAACAATTGTTCAGTTGTGTTCAGAAAATTAAGAAAACTGCTAAACAAAATAAACTATTTAACATTTTCCATGGATTACTTGTACGAAATTGTTTGTTAGGAAATAAACTAACGGTTACTATAGAAAAGTCAATTCTTAAGTTTTTTTTCTTTTCTTAAATAGAAGAAGAATTAAAGGAATACAAATTTCGCATAAGATTAAAAAAACTGACATATTTATTGTTTAATACCTTTTTGATACTAATAAATTACATAAGAGGAAAAATATTGTGAGGCCAGGACAATAAAGATTGCATTGAAAATGTATAAATATTTTATCAGTTTTCAGTCAAAGGAAATCGATACATTTATTTGGTTTGCTTAAGAAAGAAGTAAGTTAACAAATAAATTATAATAACTATTTGCTACAAATGCTTTCAATATCATTACGCTTACCGCTTACTTATTTTGATGATAGTGTTAAATGTCTTTCCTGCTTATTAGTTAATTTTGAACATCATTTTAACATTAATATGTTTCTGATATAAAACACTTGTTCACAAACGTGTGATAAATATATGAGAATAAAGCATTTTTTAATAATATCTGACCACCAAATCGTAAAAAGTTTAAAAATTGCTTGATACGACAAATGTTTAAAATTCCATACCATTTGAGTAGTAGGGATTTTACTTTATTTCAATGGCTATTAGAGTATATACAAGTTCCTAAAAGAAATTATAATTTTTTTTAAATTCCTTTAATCTTTTAAAAGTCTTTATTTGCCATTGTTTTAACTTTTCCGGGATATTACATGGCATGTGAGCTACACTTATGTGGTAGGTGATTACAACATGCGAATGTAGTTGCGATAGCAATATTTATTCAATTGCTTAATGATTTCAGTTAATTTATTATTAACTCGGTAGGGCATAAATGAATAATGCTAAAACTCAACTTTTTTGACGTACCTTTTCTAAGAAACTACGTATATCGCTTTGAAAGTTTTTGGAGATATTTGAGATTGTATTAGCTGCATACTGTGATAATGCTTTAGTGTTAACAGAAATACTTTTTGAGTTATAAAATAATTTCGCTCAAACATGTTGAAAATTTTTAAAAAAATTCTAAGTTCTCATTTCATAATTTAAAAAAAAATAGGTATAAGATATGTATTAACAGTATAAATGTGAATGTTTAAATATTGTGTGAGAAAAAAAACTGAAGTAATATCTTTAGATGTTGAGAAAAAGTACATCAAAAAAGGTCAGTTTTAGAATTATTTGTATATGCCCTACCAACTCTCATAGATTTCAATTAATTTATTATTTTCTGTCTTTTTTAGTTTTAAACCTTTTCTTAAGGTTTCACTAAGACAGTATATAATTTTTTATCGCAGCAACTGCTTGCTCGTAATAACAGGGTGTTCCGTAACAACTAACTTTAATATTGATTTCAAGACTCCTTATCAAAGAGCGTGCACATATTAATATTTAATAATAATAAATAAAAAT